GAGATAGATATTTAATATAATATTTTTTATATTTCTATTGTATATTAAATAATTATTTATTTTCCTTATATTGTTTATTATTTTTTTTTTATATTTTTCGAAGAGAGGTTCTACAATGATGTGCATGCTTCTTAGAATCTCAATTAGTCCATTTTAATAGAAGTACCATCAACATCAATATATATAACTCAAGGAGAGAGAAAATTGTTTTATTAATGAAATCAAAGTGTTAGTGTGACCAACTAAATATAATATTACATGTAAATCCACCGAGGAATAAATATGTGCTTATGAACTGCCATCATCTTCGCAAGAGTTGTTGATGTTAGGAGTTGCAAGAACGGCCTGTATAATACAAATTGGATGCTCTATTTCCTTCTGTTCATTTCTTATTCGTTCTTTAGTTTTCTACTACACACAATCCTCTTTTTTTCTGAAGTTCTTTGGAGATCTTTTTTAAGAGGTGTGAGACTGATGTTGATGGAATAATGGATTTTATAGGGATTTGTTTGATGTAAAACTATACATTTTTTTAATGTAGTGTTTCTATTTTTTTAATTGTATATTACTTATTATTTATTTTAATATTTTAATATAAATGTTTAATGTAGTATTTCCATTTTAAATGTTGTATGTTTACATATTACTTTTTATAGTGAAAAAAGTAATCTTACATATGTTTTATGTAGTTTTCCATTTATGTTGTATGTTTACATATTGTTATTTTTTTTAATGTAAAATGATAATCTTACATATATTTAATGTAGTATTTCCATTTTTTATGTTGTATGTTTACATATTAATTTCGAAATTATATTTTTATTGATTTTTTTTTGTAAAATGTTAATGTTACATTATGGAGATAAGCTGTATTTTGTTTTAGTGAAAAATGGCAATCTTACATATGTTTAATGTAGTTTTTCCATTTTTTATGCTGTATGTTTACATATAATTTATTATTTTCGAAATTATATATAATCTTTTTAACTTTTTTTTATAAAATGCTAATGTTATATTATGGAGATAAGCTGTATTTTCTTTTAGTGAAAAATGGTAATTTTACATATGTTTGATATAGTATTTCTATTTTTATGTTGTATGTTTATATATTATTGAAAATTAGTAATATTAAAATGTAAAACTTTAAATTTGCCATGTGGCATCTTTTTAAATAGGGTTATTATGATGAGGTGGACGCTCCCATGAGCCTCGATTAGTCCCTTTTAATAGTATAGACTAGAGATTAATCCACGCGCGGACCTATTTAATTTTCAAATGTTAACTATTTTATTTTTGAAACACAACTTGCATAAATTCATAAACTCAAAGGTAGGTGTTGATAGATGTTGTATATTTACCAGCCTTGCATTATTATTTATTTCAGAATACAAAATGTATTCACATATTTACTTATTATTTATTTTACTATACATTTTTCAGATATATTTT